TCATACCATTATCTTACAGAATTTTCAATGAGGCTAGTCTGAAAAATTGTCCACTTTATAAAAAATATTTATATTTAAGAAACAATTAAATTTGAGTCTATGAATATCTAGCATTGATGTTAAGTGATACTTTTCTTATGAAATACCCTCAGCAACTTGCTAAAAGTAGTTTGTATGATCCAATCCAAATTTGTGTATAAATTAATTTTATATAATGCAATCTGACATTTATTAGTTAGTGTAGGTGCAATCATAACTCTAAATATCTAAACAAAATATATTTATGAATTTCTAAGGAGCCCAAGCTCAATTATAAAGTAATAAAGTTCCTTTGATTTGAGGACTTATACGTGGGAATATTTATACATTCGTATTCATCCCCGCTTAGTCGTGGAGCTACAAACTTGGATATCCAAACTGAATTTAAAATAATTAAAATAAAAGTACACTAAGGCTCTGCTTGCCAGTATTTTAACGTAGAATTAAGTAAAAGTTACCAAGTTTACAACTAAAACATTTGTTTCTAAATAGAGGACAGAAAATATGTTCGCCTTCTTCATGGCAATGCATCAGAGTAGTGGATGGTGTGGCGGTTTAAGGCTAAGATACAGGGTTAACAGGGTTTGCATTGAACCCACTTGGAGTACGCACCATTGCAAATGGGACTGCAGACTTTTCCTGGCGCCACTAAAGAGGAACTTTGTACGCAGTCAACTAATCCAAGCAAAATTTAAAATGAAATTAATTAATTAATGAAAGTCCCCAAAACAAAACAAATGTATGCAGCTCTGACTCTTTCGATTATAACGAGTTTCAATTATGAATTCTATTTTTAGTCTATCAATGGCTTAATTTGTAAGCACACGAGGATAACATAGTTTTTAACATATAACCAATATTTACTTTATGGGATCGGGTCGTATTTAATATACTAATTGTATGTTATTTAAATATATTTACTGTAATAAACCTACTAAAGTGTGTCTGGTGGTCCAATTATTAGGACTTCCCACCGGAATATATCATTCTCATCAATTAATCCAGCTGAGAAACCTTCTACTGGGTTCTTATTTAGTTCTGAAATAAAGGAATAATAAGAATTTTGTTATATTAAAATATTTGTTTATATATGACTTTAAAGTAATTCTGCAACTCATTAAACTTATATAACGATGTATAATATATATAGTATAGTATATTTTAACAGCTAACATGTATATATTAAACAATTGTATATATATATATTACAAATTTGTAATAATACTAGCTTAAATTAATATAAAATCGTACTATCCTTTGAAATTAATTAAACTTTAACAAAAATATATTTA